TTCACAAATCCGACATGGTCCACCGAGGCCGGGCCGACCGCGCGACCAGATCATGGCAGGTCACTGACGGGCGACTCAAGCCCCTACTATCAGTTCATGTAGACTCTTGATGAATCAACCCCCCATAAGATCGAGCTTTTCAATTCAATTGGGTATATGGTTATCTTAATCAAGAGTCCCAAAGGCTTCGGGGCACCCCGTTCCCGGCGTCCCTCCGTTCCGGCGTCGCTGTGGTCCACCCGAAAAACGCGCGCGCAGATGCGAGGTCTCCGGAGACCGCCCTGGTGGCACTGGTTTTTTCCATGTCGCTTCTTCCGGAACCTCGTGCCGGAGACCGGTCCCATCACCAAAGAGCTGCACTCTCGAAAGGCACCGTCCCCCAAAGTGGCCGCGTGGGGAAGCGTCAAGCTTTGCAAAGAGATGCAATGCTGAAAAGCGCCTTTCCCAATGTGGGTCACTGAGTCTGGGATGGTCAAGTCCACCAAAGAGGTGCAATCTTGGAAGGCATATTGCCCTATGTGGGTCACTGAGTCTGGGAAGGTCAAGCTCGCCAATGAGATGCAGTGCGCAAAAGAACGACTCCGAATGTGGGTCACAGAGTTAGGGATGGTCAAATTCAACAAGGAGCTGCAACCTTCAAAGGCATGACTCCCAATGTTGCTGATTGAGTTTGGAATGACCAAGTGTGACAATGAGCTGCAATGTTTAAAGGCACACTCCCCAATGTGGGTCACTGAGTCCGGGATGGTCAAGCTCGTCAGAGACCTGCAATTCTCAAAGGCACAATCCCCGATGTGAGTCACTGAGTCTGGGATGGTCAAACTAGCCAAAGACCTGCAATTCCGAAAGGCGACATTCCCAATGTGGGTCACTGAGTATGAGATTGTCAATTTTGCCACAGAGCTGCAATTCTGAAAGCTGTGAGGACTTATGCGGATCACTGAATTTGGGATTGTCACGTTCGTCAAGGATGTGCAATCCTTAAAGGCATCATTCCCAATGTGGGTCACTGAGTCCGGGATGCTCAAGCTTGCCAAGGAGCTGCAACCCCGAAAGGCAGAATCCCCAATGTGGGTCACTGACTTCGGGATGGTCAAGCTTGCCAAAGAGGTGCAGTTCAAAAAGGCAGAAAGCCGAATGTGGGTCACGCAGTCTGGGATGGTCAACTTGGCTAATGTGCCCCAGCCTGCAAAAGCATGGTCAGGAATTTGAGTATTGTCACTTGGGATTTCGAGCGCAAGCGGCAGTTCCAAGTTAATGTCATAGCCAAAACTTGCGACCGCATATTGGTTGGAGCATACTAGCATGTTCGGCTTAAAGACCACACTCACAACATCATCTGCAGCAATTCCTGCATCCAGGACATTTGCCTCATCGGACAGCAAGTGGTTGTCTCCGATAATTATATCCACAGAGGTAGTTCTGCAAGTAGGCTCGTCCCAACCCTGTCCTTGTTTGATCTGCTGCTTTAGCTCCAAGCCTGTCATCTCTGGCGTGACTTCCAGAACCATGCTCTTGCCGCTTGGCTGCAGCGCTGAAATTCGCATCTCTATACTATACAATGGCTCACGCACCTTGACAAACTTGAATTCATGTTGTTTTTGTGTGTCTTTTTGCTGTAGCTTCGCTGGCCTTACGGAGCTCTTCTTGAAGTAACTTGTTTTGCTGTTGGGCTCGGACCTAGTGCAGCACAACATTGTCAACCTTGTGTTTTGTAAAACACTAGTTGTTCATTGTGGTTCAATCAGAACCACTAGCTTAATTGGACTTCGGATCTACGTACTCGTGGGCAAAGCCTTTGATTGCCAACTGGCTCTCCGTGAAACCTGTGCTGTAGCACATCCGATGGGTCCCACCTGTTCTGGTGTTGGGCACATGTCCATCTACCAGCATCCTCCAACAGGTGAGACCGGTTAGGGCCCAACAAGCCTCTACAGAAGACCTGTCGAGTCGGATGCTGGTAAAGGCTTCCACTTACACTCCCTGAAAGCATCATGGTTACGTGGATGGCATGGGCCCCCGAGTTCGGATCACCATGATATCCGAATTTCAGGGAGTGTAATGGATCCAGCTTGTCTCCCAAGCAAGTGGCACGCAAAGCGATCTCGTCTCTCGCGGTTATGCTGTCTTCATCTAAGACTGATAAGACTGGCCCGTGTTCAGCAACCCATCTGTGAATCTTTCCTCCCAAACAGGTGGTGCCACCCACCGATTGCCACGGATTCTTTCAGTGTTTGCCTTGACGATTCCGTCGACCAGAAATCCAAGTGCATGTCTCATCATGAAAACGCCACAGGAATCGGCTGAATCCCGAGATCAAGACGGATTCACAAAAAATTTGCAAACAAGAGACTATCCAAAGGGGTCGATTTGTTTAATTAAACAATCAACCTGCTGAAAAAGCTTGCCTCACCACACAACTGAAAGACGTTGAGCCGAGCATCTTCGCGGCTTTTGCCAGCGCCAGCGCTAGCGCCTCACCAAAGCCGCCCGACGCACCAGTAATCCACACCACCTGGCATGGCGCGTGAGAGCGCATGCGGGCGTGCGCGGGCGCGCGAGCAAGTCGAAGGAGTTGATGGTAAGAAAAGCACACACAATCACACTGTTACACGTTTCCAGAGTGAGCCCCAAACAAGGTGTTTGATCTTGGGACGAAATCATGAATATATGTTAAGTGGGATGGGTCACATGCTCTTCAGTCCTGAGTGGTACCACTCCAGCATATCCCCATGTGCTATTATATATAACGGTAGAGTTGTTTTGTGACCCCAAATGGCCATTCCGAAAACGCCGCTGCACCGAATGGAGAAAGACCTGCCCTCGCCACACTTCCCAGTCTGACTCCATACTTCGGCCTTGCCGTCAAAGTATCCTGCAACGTCAGCCTGACGTGGGAGCTCCAGGTGATTCAAGCGACTGACTGGACCAGGGCGGATGATCATGGTGAGTAAAGGCCCTTCCGATTTCCATATAGAGTGATTTAGGTAATTCATCGACTTACTGGGACACACCCTCGAGCCGAAGCTTACTTGAAGCTCCTTGGAGACCAAAACGATATCGTTCATGGCACTCCCAGGTGGTCACCTTGTCTGCGAATGAACCAAAAGTCCAGAGCCGAGGTCGACAGTCGTGTCAAATCATGTATACCAGCACCTTCCAACAGGTTGTTTGGAGACCCTAACAGGTGGTTTCTGAGCACCTGTTGTCACCAGGAAGCACCTGTTGGAGGGTGCTGGTATCATCCTCTGTCGTCTTGAACAAGGCTTTCGGACCCGTGACCTGAATTCCTTTGCAAGGTTTTCGAGTAACTCCCTAGCCCAAGTGTTCGTTGAAAAGGGGTTGCATTTGGATGGGTAAGGAACGATCTTCAACGTCGAGTGGTGCAATCTGGAGTTGGTGCACTCAATCAAGTTTTATGAACATTTTTTGTAAATACCTGCCAAAGCTGCTTTTTTGAAACACATTGCAGGGAAGTCTCTGGGTCTGGCCTTCCTAACAACCTATCTATCCACAACAATTAAATGTCCTTAAATCAACATCTACTCTCCTCTTCTTCACCCCCTTTGGTCATTGCTTCTTCCAAGTGCCTATGCTCAGAGTTCCCCCAAGAAACATCGAACTCTCCGCGTTGGACCCGAACACCGACGTCCGCAGCTCTTCGCCGAACGAACACGGCGGCGCCTGAGCTCCGAACACGCCACCCATGGAGCGCACACGCGGAACGAAACGTCTGCCCCGTCGAAGCGCGGCAGCGCCAAGGCCAGCACTGCCGGCGCCCGAAAGCCTCCCGCGGCCGGTTAGGCCGGCGGCTGAAAGCGACCGGTTAGGCCGGCTTTCCGGCATGCGACCAAGGCGGTCATGTCAGAAGCCAGGACAATGTGACCTGTGTTTTAGTGTTGGCTCAAACTTTAGCGTTTTTTTCTTCTCGGATGGATGGATGATATAAAGTGCCTTTCAAACCAGCCAAAATCGGTTGAAATGGCTGATAATGGTACAGTACGGAAGATCTAGAGCCGTCATGATGCAAAAGAAAATCTATTAATTTACGTCAAAAGCAAATCTATATGTAATTCAATGTAAATAGTATAAAAATAACTATATATAATAAGTTGTATATTAAGAATGATATGAAAACACATGGGCTTCGATTGGGTTTGAACACCATGAACATCCGTGGTGACTCCAGGTTCGAGGTTGGCCTACCGCTCAATACCCTTCTCCTCAGTCACAAAGGTGTGCTTAATGGATTTCTTTTTCAGAGGTCCCGGAAGTGTGGTGTTAATTACCAGGTGTTTGGTTTTTTCCCGGGTCTTGAGTTCAGGGTGGTTGGGCCTATGCCTAGGTCTCACGATGCCAGTGACCTGTGACCGAAGGTGTTAGTACAGTACGTCAATCCGACTCAGTCTGTCAACCTCCGTGCCCATCCTCCAATTTCCCCGAGACGAGACCGGACCATGGATGATTAGTAAAGGCCTTTCTCATACCGACTGCTACTGGTTTACCATACCAGTATGGCTTTCGACACACCGAGCGCCATCTTCAGCCCTCCACCGGTGCCTCCACCGCGCGGTGTCCGCGCGACCGCGGTGTCCGAAGACGTCCGCGGTGCGCTCACTGGGCCGCGCGAGGGGACAGCGCGGTGTCCACCGCGTAGGGGAGGGGAGGCCCAGCTGCATAGCTTGAGCCCCAAGGAGCAGCAGTGATGAGTGGCGTGGGGGGCGGCGAGTGTACATGACGGTTGGGTGATTGCAAGTCATCTATCACGTGCAACGTTTTTAGCAACTCAATGATTCGTGTCCCGCGAAGCATGCTCAGCATCGTGAGATTGGTGCAAACTAGCTGCCTAGCTGTGCAGTGAACTGGGAGAAAAAGCAAAGGCATTTTCGGGGTCCCACTGTGCAGTGAAACCTAAAAGAACTTTTTCCTCACCAACCCACTGGTTTTGGGGGTCCATGTGGTCTCCACCAGGCAAGGCCACCAGTCAACCGCTGAGCTGCTTCAGCCAGGCTCTCCGAAGCCGATCCATGGCACCTGCCAAGGTGGTGGAGACTTGAAGAACTACTCCCACCACGCTCACATACTGGGACCATTCGACCATCTGGGTGTGGCTGGAGAGCATCTGGGTGTGGCTGGAGATCCCGGGACATAGTGTGGGTAGTCCAGCCAGAACACCCCGTCAGAGCATGGTCCTGGTACTGCACTCCGATGATTTTGGGGAGTATTTCCAGTCGTTTCAGAGGTTCGATGGCGACCCCAAGATGTTCTAGACAGATGGGGGTCCAGTCCTAAACCACCGACCTTGGGGTCTGTGCCATTGGTCCTCTCAATCCATAGTATGTGGTGCAATCACGTACGTGCACACACATACCTGGACCTTCAGGGGGTGTCCTGGCTGGAGGTCCCCTAGTGGTGGGCTGGGGCTTCCAGCCTGGTAATGCCTGGTATAAACAATAGACTGCACTCTCCCTGTAACTCCAATTGGAAATGGATCCCCCCTGTTTGTGGAGGAAAATGGTCGACCGGATACTGGAGATGCGCAGAGTATATCTCCATGGAAGTGGAGTTTGTCATTTCAACCAACTCTGGATACTGGAATCATCATCTATACTCCATGGATCATCACGGAATCATCATGAATACTTGCAACCAACCTCCATGGATCTGGATCCTGGATCCTGGATCCATGTCCCCCTCCAGCGAAGACCAAACAGGTGGTCGTACCTCCACACAGCCCAGGCTGAAACCACGGGGGGTGTACTTGGACCCTCCACGCGGAACATGGGCATAAGATGGCACAAGGTATCTGCTTGTGTTCGGGATGGAGCTGTAACAAGTTCTGGGTCGAACTGGAGGCTTCCGGGGTCTAGCACTGACATGAGCGGATGCGGGCATCGCGCAATCCACCAACGTCCGGGGCACGTGTAGGCTGCTGCTCGGACAGGCAGCTTGCCAGGTTCCAGTGGGCCGGTGAGCTGAACACTGATCAACATGATGTTCACCATGTAGCATGTATCGTGCCCCACAAGCATTGACCCCTGCCAGGGACTACTAGGGTCATCATGTGTCATCCAGCCTGGCCAACGCCCATGATCCGGATCTCTCCCAAGGCCTGGCCTTCCAATCGCTTTCTCTCGCATGGCTCGATCGTCTCCATGGTGGGCATGCCATCATCACCGAAGCTGGTCATGGCGCAACATCCACCAGTGGGCGAAGGAAACGGCCTGGGAAAGAACCTTTGGGCATATCCATGTATATCCCATTCCCCGGGGCCTAGTGGATGATGATGGGGCCTGGTTGAAGGCCGACATCTCTGTCTGAAATAGTGATCCTTTTAACCGACCGATGATCACCATCGATGGGGCCAACATGTGGTAACAATAGTGATCACATCAATAGTAACATGGGGTGAACATTGGCCCCGACAGTGGCAACAATAGTGATCTTTCTCTAAAATAGTTGGTGGACCCACTGGCCCTAGACTTCCAAGACCATTTAAAAAATGGTTGACCTGGTTTTTGTAGTGTAAAGTCCTTAGTTGATTCCATAAAGCCTATTAAATTAATGGTTGTTGGAAGCCTAGGTACGGTACCCGGTAATGAGTCACCCCCAAGCAATGATCTCACGCCGGTGGAACCGGAACTCGCTCCTAGGCCGCTCGCCCTTGTGGCGCTCATGTTGAGAATCTCTTTGAACCCTGAGCACCAGGAGTCACATGGAGGGCCTGGGTGGTGTTGTTCGTCCCATCCAGTGAGTGGATGTGACTGTGACAGGGACAACCCAACTTCCTCCATGGATAGCACCCCGTCTTGTGACTGCTGGTCCGAATCTCTTAGGTGTCATTGCTCTCTTCTGGTCTTTGCCAAGATGTTCGTGTGGCCGTTTCTCTCTGCAAGCCTGGCGCCGGGCAAGACAAGAAGGAAGAACCGTCTGGGTGAAGCCGTGGGCCGCACATCAGGTGAAGCCGTCCAGTCGCCCGTCGCGTGGCGACGACGACCCCATGGGATCGATTGATCAATCCGCCACCGATCGGCCAGGACACCCCGAGGAGGAGACCCACGTGTGTCGAGGTTTTGATCGGAAACCACGCAGACTCGAGTTGTCTCTGAGTTTGAGTCCATTTGGATGTGGAAATCGCTGGTGATGGAGCGAACTCAGCGGGATCATGCGGGATCCACAGTGACTGAGTGACATGTTGATCTCAGACTTCCGAACTCCGATGTGTTTTTTTTTCCTTCTCGGTGGGTGGCACCCAGCAAGCTCTGTGTCCCTACTCCTGGCAAATCGGGGCTTAGTAGTTAGTTCATGTGACTTTGCTCTTTTATTCCCTTCATGTTGTCCAACAATCATACCGACTCTTCACAATAGAGAGGGGCGCTGTCTGGGCGCTCCAGGTCACCGAAGCACCGGGTTTTTGGCACCACCCGAACATGGCTATAGCTTTCTGTCTGCGCCGCTCGTCCGAGTCCCTACCAATCCGGTTCGGTACGAACTGTACCCTCCTGGCTACATCATCTCCAATCACCTCCTGACTGAGAAGGTACGACTGGATCGATCCCAAACGATCCTTTTTCAACCATCCGCCACTCCGCCACCTCAACTGCGCTCGTTTCCTTTTTTTCTGGGGTTCTCTGGCCGTGCTGTCGGAGATTGCTGTGGGTCATTCATCAAACCCGGAGGCCCAGTTGACCCAAATGGAGCATTCAGTTCATCGATCGGTCAACCAGGGTCCCCGGTTTTGACCCACACAGCCCTATCAATGTCTATTCCACCTCCGTCACTCTTTTCCGGCTCTCTCCGCCCTGGTATCTTCACTTGTTTCCATGTGGCACGGCACAAGCGGCCCCAAACCACAACCAACCCGGCGCCGCTCGTCTTGAACACGGCAGGTCAAATCTTGCTCGTGCAACCCAAGTGCCATTTCAATGGCTGACCAAGGTTCAAACAAATTATGAAATAGTTCTTGGAGTCCTCACTTGACTCCAGTGGATAGGACATGGAACATCAAGCCAAGCAACAATGGCCACAAAATGATCAAAACAAGCCAACTTGGGATCTCAAACATGTGTCCAAGGCCGCAATGCCCCAAGCTTCGCTGTGAAAAGCTCCGAACGCCGTCATCCAAGTGCTATGGGACTTTCACCCAGATCCATGTATGGAAGATGTTACCCCGTGGAAAACGAACATGGACCCTGAAAACCACTGGGTTTGTACAGGAACACCGTTTTTATTGTTGATTCTAGGTCCCAGGGTCCATTTTCGGGAGTGTACCTGACCCTTAAAGCATCTCAAAACCAAGCAAAGTAGGCATATATGCCAGTCCCATGGATTGCCGTCATAGACTCAGGCACCTCCCAAAACTGCAGTATATTGTAGTCATGCCTTGCTCAATGTCCACCCACCTTGCTTTTGGCACGAAGGATGGCCCTGGTTGATCCAATCCGCGCCTTTGTGCGATCAAATTAAGTCCAACAACGCAAAAAAGGATGTCCTTCAGGCTCCCTATATCAAAACATATCAAAGCCACCTAAGGGACGAGCATTCAAGCCTTTGATTCAAGAATGCATTAAAACATGTATATATTATTAGTCGGGCACCTGTTTGAAGGTACCAAGACGGACCCAAACTCAGTCGTCGGGAGCAATCCTCAGGTGTTGACCATGTTGATCCATGTTGAGACTCAAAGTGACACCAGCCCCGTTGATGTCTATTTAGACCGATTCAAGCTTTATTCAGAAATTGTGGCTTTCCAGTGGCATGAACATACTAGCTGACTGACTGGGCTCAGGATGTAGTGAGCAGCCGCAGTCTTGCGCTTATCCTTGAGCAATGTTCATTTGGTGATTGGGGCATGTTTCGTGGTCTTTACACGCGGCACCAAATTCACCGCAAACGACATGCACAAGGGTAGAGGGTAGCGCATCATATCACGGTTTACACCCTTTCCGAGATCATCAAAGTGGAGGGAGAGTAGATGACGCAATCCCCAAAAACGTGGTTTCCGTGGAGCTAGCGAAAGACACATTACTAGTAATTCATCTGCATATCTATGATGTTGCCATCTACTCTGATACCACCATCTAGGCTTTGGAAAGTAAACTTCAAGCATTAACCTTTCTAGGATGCCAACCTTTTGAAAGGAACCTTTGATGCCAACCGTGACGGGGCAGACCTGCTTCGTTCCTTCGTTCCCAGTGAACGGGACCCCGTCCTATGCCCTATAGGACTGGGGTTTCTCCAACCATACAGAGCCGGTACTATCCTGTTAATCTAGGACGGACTGATATTGATCGTCCGCTGGACCAGAATTGTGGTGCTTGTGCTGGCTTTTGGAGTGATCGTGAACACCTCGGCAATGATATTTCTCTCTCAATGTAGGAGCACCTCTGGGGAAATTCAGAGGGTTTGGTATGGTTTGGTAATTAGGCTGTGGGTCAAGACCCGGCAACCCTGGTTGACCGCTGATCATGAACAGATTCTATGTTCGGGATGTCAGTCTGTCTGGCTGTCTAACACCCAAGGCTTCTCCAAGACGAACGATGAGGAGACTGAGGAAACCCCACGCATTGCCATCGGCATCGGCATCGGCAACGCCCCAGGCTGCGGCAGCCGAAGCGGAGGCCGCGTGGACAAATGCACGAGCATCACCACGTCATCACCAGGAAATCCATGGGGATCATGGTGCCAATCTGCGGCCTATTATCTGCGACCTATTGCACTTTTTGTGTCGGATCATTTGGTCCAGGACAGGCATCTGTTCTTCTCTGCGCGCGATGCTCGTGCTGGTGATTGAAAAGAGTAGCTGTTGACGAAGAAGCACCTCGATCAGATAAAGACCAGCTGTCGGATGGTCTCGGCTGCTTGACATTGAATGACCATAAGTAGGAGACCTCAGATCTAAGAGGCAACAAAACGAACAAAAAACCAAACCACGTGGGTTTCAAAGGGACAAACGTGTGCCCTACATGTTCCAACTCACTTGACTCTAGTTCAAACCTTCCAGGACTTCCCTGCTTCCCTGCTCAAAACCCCTTCCTCCCGTGCAGAGTCAGTTGGGGCCTCCCATCCGGAGTCAGCTGGGTGAAAGCATGGTGAGACGGTCTTCCTCCCGGGCTGTTGTTGCAACGCAGCGAAAAACCGGCTTGTGCTGGTCAAGTGGCGAAGAAAGAATCCCAAGGGCTCGAAGCAAAGGGAAAGACCATGAAAAACACACACAAAGACGAACTACCTAGCACTTCCTGTCTGGGTGCCCGGAGTTGGAGACCTGTTTAAGTAGGGTAGGGTAGTCTATCGGACACCCAAACAGGATGATCCTGGATGATCCTGGTAATGAACAATCAGCAAATTGAAGCTTGCCCCATCTGTTTTGTTGTTGTTTGTTTCTTTAGCACTGCATCTATAGTGAAGAACATATAGAGAACATTGAATAGACCGAGGTCGACATCATTGAACTCCGGGTTCCCTGAATTATGAGAAGCACAACGGTCACTCTGTCATGAGTCTGACCCAACCAAGAGAGGTCTTTGACCTAAACTGTTAGACCCGACTTACCTGGGGCAATTATACCCAACTGGGATCGTCGCACGTCGGGCTTCGCCCTGCTATCTGCGCTGGCTCGGCGCTGGCTCGGTGTGGACCACTCGCCAAAAGCTTGCCATCCGGACCACTCTGGGAGCCGGTTTCATGCGAGCAACGGGCAACCCCTACCTCTCAGGAGCTGAGAAAGGGATAGAGCTGGGATGCGATGCGATACTTCCAGAACCTCGGAACGAATCGCTTCGCGGAAGGCCCAAGGGATTTCATCACCCGAAGCCGATGATATGACCAACGCCGGGGCTGAAAGAAGGAGCACTTCTGTTCACCTGTTGCTGCCACATATAGAGTTTCAAGATGTTTGAAGCCCAAACAAGCTGCCTTGAGGCACGCAAGCCAGCTATATCACTATATATATGTGGTTAATTTATGAATTATATAATATTATATATCATTATTTCAAATTATTTCATTATCTGCTATTGTTGTTGTTCTTATTCATAATTATACGTGTGCCAGCACTCACAAGAGCCTGGTCCCGCCCTCTCTTTGTCAGTGGAACCGTGGAACCCGCAGCTCTCACCGGTCCCAGTGCTGACCCAAGAGACGATGGTGGAAGCCATCCATCCGCCTCCAGGCGCTTGCCCACCTCGGCCGTGGGGCAACGCTCTTCAGCCAGGCTCTTTTTGGTGGAAGTGGGTCGGTCTGGAGCCGCCCCTCTCAAATCGCGCGTTCAAAGCGCGGACGTTCGGCTGCCGAACTGGCAGCTGAACTGACCACATTTTGAGAATACACTGGACTGGGCATCTAAACCATCCGACCAAAATACGCACACCATGTGCACGCGGAAGCCTGGGGCCTGTCTGGACCACCAACTGTCTGCCCTTCTGCACCAACAAATGGTTATGAGATGCGAGTAGATCTTGGGCATATCCCATTACCAGTAACAGTGGATGATGAATGATGATGGTTATGTTACAGGCCTTCCGGACGTCCTCTAAAAATCGTGATAATTGATGATACTTATGTAGGGACTGACTGTTGCAGGTCATAGCACCAAACCCTTGGGCAACCGGACAGTCAGCATCTCCAAGACCAACTCGCTGTGGAGCTGCGCGTCAATGCCTGAAGAAACAGCAACACACAGGACTGGTGAACAGCTCTGATGCACTTCCTCTGGGGGGCCAATTCAAACGCTCATTCATGGGGGCCTACTCCAATGTAAATTCAGTGCTTCCAAAAGTGGATGTAGGTTGATGAGTGCTGCGTGACCAAATGATGGGTGATGAAACCAGGTGGCAAATACATCTGAAGACCAAACATGAACCTTGAAAGTCGTCTTGATGCTACGAGTTTTTCGAATGATTCAAAGGAACAACGATGAAACTCCGTGAACATTCAGTAGTTACCTTGCATTTTGTTTCTGGTCACAAGGCTGTGCGTTTTTACGTATCTTTTTTGGTTGGCGGGGGCGTTTCATACTAATTTTTGGAAACGTGGTGAACAGCCCAACAAGAAAGATCAAGAAAGTCGCTTAGCAGGACCTCGGAACTCGCGAATCGAGGGGATCTTGGAACTCGCGAAACTCAGGCGAGAAGTGGGATGAATCTGGTCCTGGTCCTGGGTCATCTGTAGAATCTACAGTGTAGATGCAGGTTGTGGGTACAATTGGAGTAGGATATAGACTGACCGTGTGCGGTCAGGGATTTCTTTGGTCTACCTTTGTTTGCCAGCTTTCGCCGGCTACCTATGTCATCAAAGCAAATCGAGTCCCAGGCAGCCATGTTTTGCCGGAAATTTGAAGGTTAACCTTTTTCCACCGGACGTCCGGAGCAAGAAGCTACGTGACTAGGGCTGGCCTTACTACTAGGAGCAAGAAGCTAATCAGTAACGGACGAAACCAACTCTCCAGAACGTGGATCCAGTGATCCACTGCCTCGCGATCGGTGGTGCTTGGTGGCATTGGGGTGCAAGTTCTGCGTGAATCGGTGCCGTTTTGCCCGTCCTTGGATCCAAGGACCCAAGGACGGGCATCGAAACCGGTCTCCTCTTTTGGCCCCAACTTCAAGCTACAAGCCCAACTTGTATCGCTGTCACCTTCTCCCAATCCAACATTCTCATCCCCCAAGAAATCCAACAAAAAGCAACCACGTATATAAGTCCGTTTCGCCACACCAAGTCGGTTGAAAGAAGCCCTCACCTGCGGCCGCTGCCCGAATGCCCACTTGCCGGTCTTCCTTCAACTGTGCCAGGCCCTGCAGCGTGCGCGGTCCCCGCGGCACTGCCGCGGAACCCGTGGCCGTGCCGTGGGTTTTCACACAGCTACGTTCACGACGCCGACGCGTCGGGGGGGGTGGGCTGGCTAAGGCGGCCCGTCCACCAAACTGGCGCCAGGTAAGGCTGAAGGCATCTGAACTTCAAATTCTCCGATGAAGGGAAATCCCTGCCGCTACCAGACCCAGCAAAGGTTGAAGAACCCAAGACTAGACCATTCTAGACTATCCGAACGTTGGGTACCGCAGCTTTTGGGGGGTCCGAACGTGACCTGGTCACTCTCCACCTCTGGACTGGCAATCCTTTTTTGGTCGAACACTGTGACACCGACCTTCAAGGGGCTGCAAGTGTCGCACCGTCGAGGCGTGACGACTGGAACGCAGGCGGTGCCGTGCAGGAATGGAGCCTCAAGATCCATGGGACTGGAACAGGTTCCAACAGATTTTCCTGCAACCCTCAAAACCACTCTAATGATCCTAATGTAGGCAAACTTGTAGGAACAATTAGGCAAAGATTCCAAACATGGATGGTCTGGGTGATGATGTTTTGATGCGAACTGACTACCGGAAGTGCACACTGACAACATCTGACAACTATTGTCCAATCGACCGGTACCTCCTGGAAGCTACGTATGGCTTCCTGCCCAAAACCACTCCTTTGGGGACAAGTTGCCAGCCCAAGACTTCTGACACCGTTGTTTTGAATTGTTTTTGGGTATGGTTGACGACCCTGTGCCCCCCCCGACAAGCACGTATAGTTTGCTTTATTCGCAAGGACCATTGGAGGACACATCGCTGGTTCAAAAGGCGTGTGCTTGGGAAACTCACATGCCAAAGTCTTCTTGGCTTAGCTTCAAAGGGGGCCCTTGCTGAAACTTGGCACTTCCATGCACTTCCAATTTGATCAAATCAGCACTTCAAACAAAAAGCACACCCCAAAAAGAGGGGTCTCAAACGTTGGCCCGACTTGAAGTGACACCCCGGTTTTTGGCTGGGAAGAATCAGGAGGAGTTGTTGCGGGTCACGAAGCCTCAGCGGAAACCACATGGACCCGTGGCACCCGGCGACGAACACAGTGCACGTCTTCTATCCTTTCACAACAGGACCTGAACACAGGGGTCCCCGCGCTGGAGATTCAGTCAACTGGGCTGGGGGCCACAGCCAGGTGGACCCTGAGTGAAAGGAAGGTGCTGGTAACAATAGGATACTCAGCAGTGCCCTCCAAGAAGACGGGCCATTCTACCCGACTCCACTCGACACTGAAGAACATGTTCCACCTCCGGGGTGGCGGTTCACTCGAGGAAGCTGACCCTAGGGCTCCAGTCGTACTTCCTTAGTAAGGTATGACTGGACCCTCCTGGCACCCACCCCAGTCCCACCTTCTAAGAAGGTACGACTGGAGCCCGGTCTGGGTGAGTGAGTCAACTGGCCCCGGTCGCCTTCTCAATGAACCTTCGACTTTCCTCGCCCGCCGCGGAAACAGGACGAGGCGTGGCGTGGCGTTTTCGTGCGGTTTCCAAGGGAAGGAAGGACGCCATGCTCTGGCCAGCACCCTCGCATCCAAATTAGCTTTGACACCTACAGCCATGAAGAACCTCTCTATATAGACCTTAGATGTATAGACTGAGTGTGTCCACGCAGGTTGGGACCAACAAAAAGAGGTCACAGTGCCATATACAGTCCTGATAATAGTCCTGTTGCCCCTTCTTTCAAGTGAGGCCGCAGTCGCAGTGACCGAAAAATAACAACCAACTCGACTTTGGTAGCTGACGGGTGTCCAAAGAGGCACTTGGGAGATGTTTCAAAGGGGGGGTTGCTTGGAAAACGGCCATGCTGGCTATGTGGCTTTACCCCATGGCATGGCTATGTGGCTCTACCCCATGGCATCATGAAAACAAGTGATTGTGCATGTTTGTGCAGAATCATTCTAGGCGACGGTTGAGCAACAAACAGGTTCGACACTTAAAACTATCTGCATGCATGCCCTAGTAAACTTAGCGCGATGCCTACTGCTCAGTGTGCCACTGGTCTGGATGTCGAAGCGATCCATTTGCTCGCAGCTCAAGACTCCACTGGCTAACACCCACATTTCGATTGAGAGCCGACCCTGCTTCGATGAGCCCAAACAGGACATCATCATCCTCTAGTTCCAGGGAACTTGATGCACCAACCTGCCCTCCAAACTCCCACACACCCCAAGAAAACGCGGACACTGTGGCCCACCAAACGCTTTCGGTTTCGTGCGCCTCGTCTTTCTCGGCGGGCCATAACTTAAACTTTGCCAGTGACCATAAAGCCTGCCAACTTCGAGATCTCAACAAAGCACGAGTGTTTTTTCTCTCCAAATGGCATGTCTTTTCAATTGACTCTCCATTTGGGCGCTGTCTGTTCCATCTCAACAAATGAACCAAGTGGTTGGTGTTCCAATCCCAGACACTCTATGGGACTGCCATATATGCCGCCCCATTGACCCCCAAAAACCACCCTAATGTAGGTATATACTCCATACATGGAGGGCGATCACCTTCTGATTCCGTACTGAGCTCCTTTTCCTTTCTTTCCTTTGCCTTTGGCATCTTTACGTCTGGGAATGGTTTTACCATGAAAGAGCCAAGCTTGGCGCTTCTTGGGACGGTCGAAGGCCCCTGGCAGTGCAAGGCCCCTGCAGGGTGTCTAATCATGGCAAGACTGAACTTTGCTTAACCAGCGCCCTAGCATGGATCCACTCAGGAAGTGAAGCAGCTGAAAAACGTCCGGCTGAGGTCTTTCGTTTTGACGCGTATGGACCCAAGTGAAACACTCCCCACAACTCCAACCACATCCTCAGAAGGTGGTTGGGGTGGGTTTGAGGGTTCGCATGGATCCGCGGCGGGGCGAAGGTGAGCGTCGAAGGTGTCGATGGAGATGTCGGTGACCCCGAACGGAAGCAGCTGGTTTGGAGTCCCCAAAAAAGACACCCTCCCTGCAACAACCCATGGTTCATCATGGATCCGTGGATGCCATAGCTTTCGGGAAGGTGATTTTCCTCTAGACTCTACTGGGGATTGTCCTCTTCTGTTGCAGGGAGTAGATATTTCGATCACCCCAGGGCCCTGGTTGCTGAAGGAACTTCACGAGCCTTCGGTGGCCGGCACTTGTGACAGCAACACTTCTTCTTCCACGTAATAACCGGTGAGTTCAAGAGTCCTAGAAGCAACACATAATATGTTGCAGCCAATGAGCATCTCACGGATCGGGTTTGCACCTCCTCTTGTTCACAACCCCACCAGGCGTTGGCTGAGCTACTCTGTAGTAATCTGTAGCATACTTGCCGGCACACCCCAACAAAAGTAAGCAAATACAAGTATACACCTACATACACCTACAGTACGTGCTACAGTATACCTGAGAAGGGAGGGGACGAAAGCCAGCCTCCCCCCCTGATGAACTCGTTGGCCGAACGGCCTGTTCAAGGTGACGTGTCCGCCCAAAGCAATCCACGACGTGTCAATTCCAGTACCCGGCATCCTGCAGGACCTCAGGACCCTTCTTCCTGCTTCTTTCCTTCTTTTTCGTCCTTTTCCCCTTCTTCCAGTCTCTTCCTTCTTCTTGCTTATTCCTTCTTCCTCCTTTAAAGCTAAGTGTAATAAAAAGATACTAATAACCGCAACAATCACAACGTGTCAATTCCAGTACCGAAGTTTCCTGCATCTTGCATGACCCTTCTTCTTCCTTCTTTCCTTATCTTCACCCATGCCATTGCATCATGTTAAGTTGCTTATCTCTGGTCTTTCGCTAAAACCTGGTGCTTCGTCCGGGAGAAGTGTTTTTGGTCTACGCGCCATACCCCAAAACATTTGTTTAAAGGCCAAAGATGGTGTATAAGCACTTCCTTTGTGTTTCCCCAAAGTTTTTCAGTAACTGACTCTTTGGCCAAGATTGACCAGGCTTGGCCAAGTTTGGCCAGGTTTGGCCAAGTTTTGCCAGGTTTGGCCAGGTTTGGTCAGGTTTGGCCAGGTTTGGCCAGGTTTGGCCAAGTTTGGCCAGGTTT